GTAGGTTGAGAACCACTGAGCAAGACAGAGCATGAGGAAGAAATGCTGGAGCTGGGAAGACATTAAAAAGCCTATCTAAAAAGCAGCTTCACTGTTGGATGTTTTCTTAACCAAGATATTCCCATAAACAGGATCACTGCTTTAGACATTGCTGTTGTAATTATTATTACTGCCGTGATCATGTTTTGTTGTAATTATTATTACTGCCGTGATCATGTTTTGTATTTTACCATCTTGTGTGCCATTTCAATATATTTTATATTTTATTGTCTTTGCTGTGGATCTGCCTCAATGATGATTGCACTGGATCAAAATGCAATACTAGTAAAGTATCAATTTATCAAAACTGATATCACCTGAATTGTTTTTTAAAAGAGCAATTTATCTTTTCAGACATCATTGCACTAGAATATTAATTCCCTGGAGGAATGTATATTCCTACCCAGGCCCGTAGCCATGAGAGTAAGAAAAGTAGTCATTTTAAAATGCATACCACTGGATTGATTGTGGAAGCAAGCAATTGTTGTTGTGTGCCTTCAAGTCCACCTTGACTTTCTTTGAAGGTTTGTTCAAAGGTGGTTTGTCTTCTGAGGCTGAGAGAGTATGACTTGCCCAAGGCCACCTGGTGGGGGATGGGCAAGCAGGGATTTGAACCATGGTCTCCAGGCTAATCATCACATGTTCCTATTCTATAATGCAGTGGTCCCCAACCTTTTTTTTTTAACCAGGAGCCACTTTGACCAGGGATCACTCCCCAACATTAGTATCAAAAGGGTTACAAATCAGTTTTTGATCAACTTTAGATTCAGTTTGGTTATTTGGGGTGCTGATTCAGAAAATTGCATTGGATAGACCACATCAGCTCTAGTTTCTGATACAGAAAATATACCATCCAGTAGTTGCCATCTGTTTGCCCACAGAAAACCATATTTAGTAATCTTGAGCTGATGTGGTAGTAGTAATGTTTTGTGGGTAGTCAGCCTCTCCCATCCTGACATCCCCGTTGCCTTGGCACTATAAGAGGGTTCTGCAAGACCAGTTGCTCCTGCTGCCGCATGGTTTCAAGGCAATGGTGTAGTAATGGTGAGGCTGCAGACCATATTTTCGTTCTTGTGGACCACTGGTGGTCCTCAGAGTACAGGTTGGGAACCACTGCTGTAATGCATTAAACTAATTGTTGCTACTCGTTCATGTGTGTGCATATACATCCAACAAGCACTTAAATTACATTTCAGTGTTTCATCTTTCTTCTTTCCTTTTCTGTGTAATGCATCACTCTATGTTCTTTCACACATCAAACAAGGCAGACTGGTTTGTCTGGTTTAGGCCCCTTCTATACTGTTATATAAAATCCAGATTATCTGTTTTGAACTGAATTATATGGCAATGTAGAAGGGACCTAGATGGGGCCTTCAAGGAATTCAGGGCTAAATCCGATTACTAGTCCCAAATTGAATAGACCATATAAAATGAATGGGCCTTAGTAAATGAATACTATCATCTGTGTGGATTTGTAAAGAGACACCATGATGTGGTGAGTTGACTGGAAAGACATGTGTTGGCAGCTGATTGGCTGAGCATGCCAGGAGCCAGGGTTCTGATTGGCTGATGTCTCTGGCTTGCTGCTGAGACAAACAGTTTTAACTGCCATTTTCACCTCAGAGTGTGAAGAGAGCGCTGACTGAAAACAGCCAGGAAAGAAATGGCTGCCAACTCTCTGAAGCCTGATTATTTTTAAGACATGAAGCATATTTTAAAGACTGTTCAAAAGGGCTGTTTAGTCCCTCTGTTCTCTGTGTGAATTCAGAGAGGCCACTGTAAATATTGTTGCCCTGTTTGATCTTTTGAACTGAAGTAAAGATACCGTTACTTGTTCCACAAGACCAAGTGACACTTTATTATACTGCAGGATATATCTTGATTCAGAAACTGTGGTAAAGCTTTTGTTTATTGACGAGGGTTGAATGAAAAGTAATGCCTTTACCTTGGTAACTCCTCAACAGATGGCAGTACTGGTATGCGGCAGGTACTGGCTTGTTCAGTATACTCTCCTCTACAGTTCCATTTTGGCGGGAAGCCTTAGCATTGAACAGTTGTGTTGTTAAAGTACAAAGTATGGAACCCTGCGCAGACGGTCGGTCAATGCGACTTAAGCATTGTGCAGTCATTGAATTCTTGACAGCATTCTCTGATGAATCACCCCAAAGGAGAGTCATCAGAGAATGCAAGCTGTTTATGGTGATTGTGTTGATGTGAGTACTGTGCGTCATTGGGTGAGTAAGTTTAAAGATGCTGAGGTGGGAACGTCTGACTTGCGTGACAAACAAAGAGTTGGACGTCCTGTGACAGCAACCATCGAGTTTCACAAACAGATTGATTCAGGACGATCCTCGTATCACTCAGAGAGAAATTCCAAGCATAATCGGCATTTCACAAGAACATGTGGGTCACATTATTGCTCTGCTATTGGAAGATCTGTGCATGATGGGTACCCAGGATGCTGACGCCTGAAATGAAAGCGCACAGACTTTAAACTTCAGAGACTGGGTCTCACCACCGTACGACATACAGTCCAGAGTTACAGTCCAGAGTTAGCACCGTCTGACTTCCATCTGTTCACGATAATGAAAGAAGATCTGCAGGGACATCATTATGCTTCTGATTAAGACATAGAGAGAGCTGTGAGATGCTGATTGTGGATACAGAGTGTTGACTTCGTCCGTGACAGTTCAAGCATTGCACACTTTCATCACATTTGGGTCAGACCGTGCTCTGACCTACAAGAAGCACTGCCTGAACATCAAACAAAAAGTGGGCGCTAGAAACAACATAATACGAAAGCTGACTGGCACAACCTGGGGATCACAACCAGACACAGTGAAGACATCTGCCCTTGCGCTATGCTACTCTGCTGCTGAGTATGCATGCCCAGTGTGGAACACATCTCACCACACTAAAACAGTGGATGTGGCTCTTAATGAGACATGCCGCATTATCACAGGGTGTCTGCGCCCTACACCACTGGAGAAATTACACTGCTTAGCTGGTATTGCACCACCTGACATCCGCCGGGAAGTAGCAGCCAATAGTGAAAGGACCAAGGCAGAGACATCTCCAGCTCACCCCTGTTTGGGTATCAGGCAGCACGTCAACGACTTAAATCATGACATAGTTTTTTTAGATATACAGAGACACTCGCTGGAACACCCCAGCAAGCGAGAGTCCAAAAGTGGCAGGCCCAAACCCAGCACCTCAATTCATGGGTGATACCAGATGAGAGACTCCCCCCTGGGCACTCAGAAGACTGGGCGACTTGGAAGGCGCTGAACAGACTGCGCTCTGGCACCACGAGATGCAGAGCCAATCTTAAGAAATGGGGCTACAGAGTGGAATCCTCGGCATGCGAGTGTGGAGAAGAGCACACCACTGACCACCTGCTGCAATGCACCCTGAGCCCTGCCACATACACGATGGAGGACCTTCTTGTGGCAACCCCAGAGGCACTCCAAGTGGTCAGATACTGGTCAAAGGACATTTAACCAACTACCAAATTTGCAAAATCTGTGTGTTTCTTTTTCTTTTTAATCTGTGTGTTTGTTTTGCTCTGTTAGAATTGTAATACAATGGTTGCTGATGACACGATAAATAAATAAATAAATAAATCATATTTGGGTTGCAGCTGTCACTATTTATTTATTTATTAAAAATGTGTTTGTTTGTTGTTGTTCATTCGTTCAGTTGTCTCCGACTCTTTGTGACCTCATGGACCAGCCCACGCCAGAGCTCCCTGTCGGCCGTCACCACCCCCAGCTCCTTCAAGGTCGATCCAGTCACTTCAAGGATGCCATCCATCCATCTTGCCCTTGGTCGGCCCCTCTTCCTTTTTCCTTCCACTTTCCCCAGCATAATTGTCTTCTCTAGGCTTTCCTGTCTCCTCATGATGTGGCCAAAGTACTTCAACTTTGTCTCTAGTATCCTTCCCTCCAATGAGCTGTCGGGCTTTATTTCCTGGAGGATGGACTGGTTGGATCTTCTCGCAGTCCAAGGCACTCTCAGCACTTTCCTCCAACACCACAGCTCAAAAGCATCGATCTTCCTTCGCTCAGCCTTCCCTAAGGTCAGCTCTCACATCCGTAGGTTACTACAGGGAATACCATGGCTTTGACTAGGACGATCTTCATCGCCAGTGTGATGTCTCTATAACTATTTTATCGAGATTGATCATTGCTCTCTTCCCAAGAAGTAAACATCTTCTGGTTTTCTGGTTGCAGTCTGTATCTGCAGTAATCTTTGTGCTAGAAATACAAAGTCGGTCACTGCCTCCATGTTTTCTCCCTCTATTTGCCAGTTATCAATCATTCTTGTTGCCATAATCTTGGTTTTTTTGACGTTTAGCTGCAACCCAGCTTTTGCGCTTTCTTCTTTCACCTTGATTAGAAGGCTCCTCAGCTCCTCCTCGCTTTCGGCCATCAGAGTGGTGTCATCCGCATATCTGAGGTTGTTAATGTTTCTTCCAGCAATTTTCACCCCAGCTTTGCATTCATCCAGCCCCGCACATCGCATGATGTGTTCTGCATACAAGTTAAAAAGGTTGGGTGAGAGGATGCAGCCTTGCCGTACGCCTTTCCCAATCTTGAGCCAGTCTGTTGTTCCGTGGTCAGTTCTTACTGTTGCTACTTGGGCCTTGTACAGATTCCTCAGGAGAGAGATAAGGTGATTTGGTATGCCCATCCCAAGAACTTGCCACAATTATGATCCACAGAGTCAAAGGCTTTAGAATAGTCAATGAAGCAGAAGTAGATGTTTGTTTATTCCACCCTAAATTTCCATGCGTTGTCTCTTTAAGAACCCCCGCCCATCCGCCCATCCGCCCGCCTCCTTTCACCACGTGGCCTCACTGTTGTCGCGCTCTTGAGCAGCTGGCGGAAACAAAGCAAGCGCCGAGGGGCGTGGCCACGACGCAGCACGGTGGTGACTGACACCTCAGGGGCGGGGCTTCGGGGCTTCGGGGGCGGGGCCAAAGGGAGGAAGAGACAGAGTGGGCCGGAGAGTGAGTCTCTCGCTCAGCTGAGTTGGGAGAGACACAGGCAGAGGCCGAAGCGCCTGAAAGCTCCGAGGCGGAGGTTTCTGTGCTCGTTCCCTTCGCAGGTAATAACGGCGGCCTAAAAAAGGGAGAGGGGTGGTTGGGCGGGGGAGCTGTCAGGGGCTCCAACTCTGCCTGAAGGCGAAGGGGAACCGTAGTTCTCTGTGTCTTCCGGGGGTTTGTGCTCCCCCTCTTCTTCCTCCTCCTCCTCGTCATCCTAAGCACAATAACAAGAGAGCAGCGCCGCCCTGCCTTCCTTCCTTCCTTTCTTTCCTGAAGACGGCGACGACACAAAGGTGGTGGGTTTTCTCAGCCTGAGGCATCAGGGGCAATGTCTCTCTCGATTCTCACTGTACCTAATACAATGCGACAAGGGTGAAAGGGGCCCTGCCTGTTTCTTAGACCTCTCTTGTTTCTCTAGCTCCCTCCATTCATTGTAAGGCCTTCCCTTCTCCAAAGTTGTTTACCTCCTCAGAGATGGCTGTGTGTGTATCCTAGAAGGTTTGGGAGGAAGTCCTATCCGTGTGTCTCTATGCAGATGGGTTGTATTTGGGTCACAAAGGGGGTTCAGTATTTAATATCTCAATTATTATTATTAATTATTTTACTGACACAAAAACTCAGTATGTCACAGCAAACGAGATCTATATGCTGGATTTCATATCACAAAATCACAAGTCGAACACTTCCAAGTGTCTAGGACTGTGTGATGTATTAATTATTATTATATTATTATTATTATTATTATTGAAACACCACAAGATGAGTCCACAGCAGACACTTTGCTGGCTGTTGTATTGGATCACACCTCGGACACTTCCCAAGTGTCTAGGACTGTGTGATGTATCGGCGAATAATGCGTGCAGATCTCAGTAAGCTGGCCTTTTGCAGCTGGTAATTTTGTCAGCGCCGATTGTGTTTAAGTTCAGGCCAAGGTCTTTAGGCACTGCACCCAGTGTGCCAATCACCACTGGGACCACCTTTACTGGTGTGTGGCAGAGTTGTTGTTGTTATTGTTATTGTTATTATTATTATTTGAAACACAACAAGATGAGTCCACAGCAGACAAGATCACTCTGCAGGCTGTTGTATTGGACTACACATCTGACACTTCCCAAGTGTCTAGGACTGTGTGATGTATTATTATTATTATTATTTGAAACTCAACAAGATGAGTCCACAGCAGACAAGATCACTTTGCTGGCTGTTGTATTGGATTACGTGTCGGACACTTCCCAACTGTCTAGGACGGTGTGATTTATTATTATTATTATTATTATTATTATTATTATTATTATTATTATTATTATTAGAAACACAACACGATGAGTACACAGCAGACAAGATCACTCTGCTGGCTGTTGAATTGGATCACACATTGGACACTTCCCAAGTGTCTAGGAGTATGTGATGTATCGGCGAATAATGCGTGCAGATCCCAGTAAGGTGGCCTTTTGCAGCTGGCAGATGGTAATTTTGTCAGTGCCGATTGTGTTTTAAGTGCAGGCCAAGGTCTTTAGGCACTGTACCCAGTGTGCTGATCACCACTGGGACCACCTTGACTGGCTTGTGCCAAAGTCTTTGCAGTTCGTTCTTTAAATCCTCATATCGTGTCAGCTTTTCCAGTTGTTTCTCTTCAATCATGATGTCACCTGGGATTGCAACATGGACGATCCATACTTTGTTTTTTAACACGATCGTGAGGTCAGGAGTATTATTATTATTGTTATTATTATTATTAGTTGTTGTTGTTTTCAGTTTACAATGCCATAACCTTATGAAGAGTATGTATAGGACATGATGTTACATTCTGTGTAATTTTCAAAAAGGGATTGAGACATCAGATGCCATTGTGACTTTTGGCCTACTCTTTATGTTTATAGTATGTGTGTGTGTCTCTCCTTCAGACTGTGTGTGTGTGTGTGTATGTGTGTGTGTGTGTGTGTGTATATATATATATATATATATATATATATATATATATATATATATGGGTTTGCTTATGGATATGTAGATCAGTGGTTCTCAGTCTGTTCTCAATCTGTCTATTGGGCATGAGCAAACCTTGGCTTTTCCAGGTGTTTTGGACTCCAACTCCCAAAATTCCTAACAGCCTACTGGCATATATATCTCTATCTATCTATCTATCTATCTATCTATCTATCTATCTATCTTGTATATACGTGTGTGTGTGTAGAGAGAGAGAGAGAGAGAGAAAGGGATGCATCTATGGGCCCTTCCACACAACCACATCACCCAGAATACCAAGGCAGATAATCCACAGTACTTTGAACTAGATTATTGAGTCCACACTGCCATATAATCCAGTTCAGTGTGGATTTTATACAGTTTCGTGGAAGAGGCCGATGTTGTGGAATGGGTGCAGTTTGACCTCACTTCCAACTGCCATGGCTCAATGCTATGCAATCCTGGGAGCTGCCATTTCATGAGGCCTTAGCACTCTTTGGCAGAGAAGGGTTAAAGACCTTGTGAGACTACACCACTCATGGTTCTATAGCATTAACCCAATGAAACAAGTGTCAAACTGAGTTAACTCTACAGTTTTTGTGCACCTGGAGATATCTACCCCAATCCTCCTGCTCCAGGCTTACTGTTTGTTTCTGTTTCTGGCCCAGGCGTCATTGTTCTGATTCACAACCTGTGAGCATGATTCGCCAAGGCTGGTTTGTTCTGCCAGCCTCCGCTTCTTGCTCACCAGTTCCTGGCTAATTCATACTTAATTAAGGCCTCCTGCTATTCTTGTTAACTGCCTTTGAGTCAGCTTCGATCCAATTGCCATTCTTAGTTCCTTGGTTTTGGGATTATTACAGTTCCTTATTGTTTTTAGGTTCTTCAAGCAGCTGTCATTTGCAGCTGCCTTTGCCTGAAAAGAAGCACAGTATGAATGAAAATAAGAGGTGAAGAAAGCCTGTTGCTTTCTTCTCTGACCCTGATTCCGGCCCACAGGTCTCTCTTATCAGCTGTTTCCTCTTATTTGTTGTCAAATTGCCTGTGCTTCTGGGAAAGCCTTCCTCTCCAACCAGACGTGGGTTGAGCCTTTGCTGATTGGGTGCCGTGTGCCACATGATGCGGATAAGGGTGTGCTGCTTTCCCCCCTCTGCTGCTTTCTTTGTGTATGCTTTTTGGATAATTGGGAAAGGGCTGAGTGTTCTGGATCTTTTCAGGGAGTTGGCAAAAGCCCTTCTCTTCTGGGCCTTTGCAGTTTTTCTATGCTAGAGAGAATGGTGCAGCTTATGCTCATACCTTGACGCCATAGTGTATGAAATGTAGAAGCTATACAAATGATAATAACCTTATCAGAAGAGAGCAGAGTCTGCATTTTTCTTCGCAGCATCACTCCCTCTCACATTTGTTTTAAATTCCAGGAGCCTTATTATACATTATAGCAAACATACTCTATGTTCCAAAGTTCATTTTAGTGGATGACATATAAATAATAATCAGTCTGATTTGTTACTCATCCTTTTCTTGCTGATTGAGGTGGGACACATAGTGAAAACATACAGATAAAACAGAAGATCATTATATATATTTACTGTTTAGCTTTTCAGGAGTTTTGGGAGTGTTACCTGTTTTGCCTTAAACACAATAATTTGTATCAGATTCAGAATTAAAGCCATTAAATTGTCAGCATTTTCTTGGTTTAGCTAAACCTATATGTATGGCTCTATTCATGAAACAAATGTACATAAAATCTGGAACCATTGGTAGAAATGATGTGAATAGAAGAGGGATAGGTTCCTAGACTGCAAAAAAGAGGAGCAAGTGAACATATTTCAGTAAACATTTAATTTCAAATTAACATAGAATCATAGAGTTGGAAGAGACCTCGTTGGCCATCCAGTCCAACCCCATTCTGCCAAGAAGCAAGAAAATTGCATTAAAAGCATCCCAACAGATTGCCATCCAGTCTCTGTTTAAAAACCTCCAAAGAAGGAGCCTCCACCGCACTCTGAGGCAGAGAGTTCCACTGCTGAACAACTCACACAGTCAGGAAGTTCTTCTTAATGTTCATATAGAATCTTCTTTGTTCCACGTCCTAGTCTCCAGGGCAGCAAAAAACAAGCTTGCTCCCTCCTCCCTATGACTCCTCTCACATATTTATACATGTCTATCATGTCTCCTCTCAGCCTTCTCTTCTTTAGGCAAAACATGCCCAGCTCTTTAAGCTGCTCCTCATAGGGCTTGTTCTCCACCCTTGATCATTTTAGTTGCCCTCCTCTGGACACATTCCAGCTTGTCAATATCTCCCTTCAATTGTGGTGCCCAGAATTGGACACAGTATTCCATGTACATAAGATATGAAATACCAGATCAGGGAAGCCTTGCATAGGCCACTTAATGACTTCTTCCAAAATGTATTTATTTTGTGTCAAAGGCATTTCATAAATAAAAAGGTATAAAACTGATAAAATAATGGCGACTGCATTGTGGGTAGCTTTAAACAGTTCTTCTTGTGTGCGTGAGGCAGGGCATTTTGAGTAAGCATACATTTGTTCAGCTCCACGGTCCCACAGGTGGAGGATTCTTCTAGGTTGTGCTATTTTGCCAGATTGTCTTTTGATCTGCCAACTCCGTTTCTGAGTCTGTTCAGAGACTTCCATTTTGCCCATTCTTGGTTTGCCCCTGGATGGGGGGCCATCTATTTGGAATTGCCCAATTTTACTGCCCACGGGGATATTCTTCCTATTGCTGGAGGAACATTTAGAGGAGGGGTGGTTCTAACCCAAAAGCATTACTTTACAACATTTTAACCTGGAGGTGTGTTTCTTCCAAATTGAAACTGCTATATATAGGCAGCCCCCAAGTACAAAAAGGGTTCTGTAGGTTTGTTCTTAAGTTGAATTGTTTTGTAAGTTGGAACAGGCACATTTTTAAGTGTAACTCCAGCCATAGAGAGAGATTTTGCAAAAGCTGCCTGTTTACCTTGCTTGTTCTAGGCAGGGGAAGACAAATACTGTTGGGGTTGGCTTCAATAGAATCCTACTCTCTTTCAACTAAAACATCTGTACTTATCCAGTCTTCCTTCATTAATAACAATGCT